CCCCCCCCTTTTTTTTAATTAAAAAAACGATCTGCCCCCGCCCCCTCCATTTTTAAACACTAAAAGCTTGAGTGAATCCCACCCGTCCCGCATAAAGTAAAGATTCTCGGTCCCACGTGCTAGCTAAGGAGTTATCTCAGACGTTGTTGGTTGTTTCGACTCAAAATCATAAATTTTTTGACTTTCCTAAAACCTTAAATTGAGGTATTCCGATTGAGTTTTTGATAAAACTTGTAAAAAAAATGCATATTAGTTGTTTTTTATGTGCTCTATATTGTTTTGTGATTGTTTTGTGATTAAACTAATTTGTTATTTTTTATCCAGACTATAATATTAGTGTGCTAAAATAATTTGTAAAATAGAGAAATTGTTATTAGTTGTTAAAAAANCCCTCCATTTTTAAACCCAAGAAGCTTTGAGTGGAGCTCACCCGTCCCACATAAAGTAAAGATTCTCAGTCCCACGTGATAGCTAAGGAGTTATCTTGGACGTTGTTGGTTGTTTCAGCTCAAAATTATAAAATCTTCGACTTTCTAAAAACCTTAAATTGAGGTATTTCGACTTAGTTTTTGTTAAAACTTGTATAAAAAATGCATATTAGTTATTTTTTATGTGCTCTATGTTATTTTGTGATTGTTTTGCGGTTTAACTAATTTATTATTTTTTATCCGAACTATAGTATTAGTGTGCTAAAAAAATTTGTAAAATAGAGAAATTGTTATTAGTTGTTAAAAAAATGTTAATTAGTTACCTTTTACTGTGGTATATGTAATTTCGTGATTGTTTTGTGATTAAATTAATTTGTTGTTTTTATCCGGTTTAGATTATTAATTTGCTAAAAGACTAGTAAACTAGATAAATTTTTACTTTAGTACCCTGTAGTGGTATCTTGTGGCTTAACGTAGTGTTCGTATTTGTAATGTAGTGACCTTTAAGCGTAGTAAAAACGTAGTGCGCATTAGCGTAGTATCCTTGTAGTTATAGAAATGAATCATTTAAGTATCTCTTATTCCCAAAAATACGTCAAAAAGCTGATATTCAAACACAAATCATCTCCAATTATAGTCGACAAACGTAAGAACATAAGAATTCAGGATACATTGGTGCTACTGGGCCATTGTGTCCGGAACAAAATGTGATTATTTAATAATTAAATCTTGTATAGTTATGGAAATTAATTATTTAATTTTAGTATAGTAAAAAATAAGTCAATAACAAACAAACAAACATATACAATAATAAAACAAACATATTAAATAATAAAACTAACATATTAAATAACAAACTAACATACTATATAATAAAACTAACATATTAAATAATAAAAATAACATATTAAATAATAAAACTAACATATACAATAATAAACTAACATATTAAATAATAAAACTAACATATACAATAATAAATTAACATATAAAATAACAGACCTGTTGAGTGAAAAATCGGAAAAAAATTGTCATCATGAACATAAGAATTCAGGATACATTGGTGCTACTAGGCCTCAAATATTGTGTCCGGAACCAAAATGTGAATATTTAATAATTAAATCATGTGTAGTAAAAAATAAGTGAATAACTAAAATATAAAATAATAAAACTAACATATAAAATAATAAAACTAACATATTAAAGTAACGTATAAAATGTAAAATTATAATATTGAAAATGTATCAACCTAATTAACAATATAGTAAAAATATCGAGTAAAATTTAATATTCAAGGTATTGCAATATATTTAAGCAGTGGAAAAGAAAAATAATGTAATTACAGTAGTCGTCATGGAGGTTATTGCATCCGGGACCTGCCTCCCTAGAGCTACTACAGCTACAGGTCGAGCATAGGTCTTCCTACATATGGGAGGGGGAGTTATTGGCCCAGACTTACGTTCTAGGAGAATAGACGATGTCTGGGGCTTTCTTAAGGAACGCAAGTTCCATCCTCGTGTAGTCAGACTCCTGCAGGATACGGGTTTTTATAGGATCATTGAGATCGGCCGGTTGCAGCTGGATTGGTCGTTGCTCACGGCTTTGATAGAGTGGTGGCGACCAGAGATGCACACATTCCATTTGCCCATTGGCGAGGCCACTATCACACTGCAGGACGTGGAGGTCCTTTGTGAGCTGCCGATTGATGGACTTGTTGTTGCTTTGCCTCGAGGCATGAGAGATTATACAGGAGCTCAGTACTTGGAGACTTTGTAGCGGTTCACCGGTTTTCGGCCAGAGGATGAGGGTGTATTCGTTGGGGCTAGTCATATTTTGTTGACGCCCATCCGGCAGTATTTGGAGGCCATGCATGATGACATTACTCATGATACACCGGAGCTTCATATTAGGTGGTACACGAGGTCGCTGCTGCTGCTTATGTTTGGAGGCGTATTGTTCCCGAACACTTTGGGAAACCTAGTCAGCTTGAGATTTCTTCATCATCTTGAGCTGCTAGATGATTTATCTCACTACAGTTGGGGTGTTGCTGTTCTTGGTTACTTATACCGGCAGATGTGTCGGGCATGCATGGGCACCCAGCGAGACGTTGTAGGATTATGCCGCTGCTGCAGGTGAAAACATAGTCAAATACTCTCTTCATTATAACATACATCATAAAAATATACCTTAAATTTTACGTCCAAATTGTATATTAGGTTTGGGCCTGGGAGCGGTTCCTGCAGTTTCAACCACCTCTACCACCCATAGCTCAAGATGCACCACCTCCACCGTTTCTCCCTTTGGCTAGGAGGTGGGGTGAGAGGCGGGGATACAGACGCGAGTACGAGGCTCGACATAATCTCTCGTATTGCAGAGATTTGTTAGATTTGCTGGAGGAAGCGCAGGCAATTCTATACTTAAGTTTACTTGGCCTGGATTTATATGTGTTGTGTATACTCATTGTTCCTGTTTTTACGTGATAGTTCATTTGGACGCCCTACAGTGACGTACCAATAGCTAGTTTGCCCGATTATTGCTTGACCGTGCGACTTATGTGGAGCTCTTCCGTCCCGTTGATATGTCTCGATATTGTCGAGTATCATGCCACCGAGCGAGTCCTACGGTATCGCAATTAATATTCTACATGTTGTGCAGGTTATTGGACTACATATGTTTCACCAATTGGGACTGCAGATGCAGCATCATGCCGGTGAGGGAGCGGCCGCTTTGCACGACTATGGCTGGCAGGTTACAAATTTGGCTTCCCGGACATTGCTGCGAGCTCGAGATAGTGAGCTCTTAGCACACGAGGCTGATATATGGCACTAGAGCAGTACCACCATGGGCCAGCAGTGCAGCCTAAACGTGGTCGACGTGGCAGGGGTGTGCCACGAGGCGGGGGTGTGCCACGAGGTAGGGGTGTCCCACGAGGTAGGGGTGTCTCATGAGGTCGTGGGGGTCGGAGAGGAGGTGGTTCCCAGCAAGGGGGCGTTGAGGCACCTGTTGAGGATGTTGGAGTTGATCAGCCGGGTGACCACTCTGATCCTAGCGATATCCCGTCATTTAGCCTGGGGCTTACTCCAGGGACTTCGCAGGTAACCCCGTCAGCTCCATTGTCGACTGCGGGCACGACCTTTACCTCACATGACTGGGATGCGTTGTTTGCTGACCATCCAGAGGCATCAACGGTTGTTGATGCTCGTCCGGTACGAGATGTGGATAGTGGCCGTTGACTTAGTTATGGCTCATCACCGAGGGATGCTGAGGATCTTCCACAGGATTTGGTTAGTTTGTATTACTATTACTTAATTTTTGTGTTTATGTCAGTGATTAGTCCTAAAATTCTAAAGTATATTTTTTTTTTAATCCATCATCCTCGCCCGTCGCGGAGGCCACTATGTGCGACATTCACATGCCTGAGACGGATAAGTATATTCAGGAGCCCGCTGCGACCATGGTAAGACATTTTAATTATTTTTTTGCAATCAACCCCTACATTACTATTACATATTTCATATACTAAATTATGTCATTATTCTGTAGGTTATTGCTGCCGACGACCCCTTCTACCGAGCCTGCCAGCCTTACTAACGATCATGCTGCAGCTCATCCTCCGATAAAGAGGCGTCGTGATAAGGATGATCCTGATAGTGTAGCCGGGAGGGATGAGATGAGCCTCAGGCCAACGGCTGCATTAAAGCATACAGGATGTGGGACACATTGATTTTTCATTTTTGTATTTTATGTACATATGACATTCAGTAAATAATGAAAACTATTTTTATTGTTTACATTATATGTGCATTATATTTTTATTTCTCCAGTTCTTCGTTATTTTAATACTACAAAACAAACACAAACATAGCAACTTAACATAATTTAAATTCAGTACAACTAATGAAAATACAAGACACGAAAAACATAAAGATAAAATACTACACTCAACACATACATGTCATTGCTTAGTCACTACCGCCTAGTATTCTCTACTCCAACCACCTAAATTTCTCTTCCAGCTTATTTTTTTCTTCTTCCACCTCTTTTAGTTTCTCCTGCAATGTCACAAGTTCTCGTTTCATTTCAGACTCACGACGTCGGTATT